GCTCACAGCAACCTCAAATTCTTGGGCTCAAGTGATCCTCTTGCCTCAGCCTCGCAAGTAGCTGGGACTACAGGCGCCCGCCACAACGCCCAGCTATTTTGGGAGATGGGGTCTTGCTCTTGCTCAGGCTGGTCTTGAACCTGTGAGGTCAGGCAATCCACGCACCTCGACCTCCCAGAGTGCTAGGATTACAAGCATGAGCCACAGCACCTGGCTCTTCATTGCATTTTAATTTAAACAAATAATTCATTTCAGATTGCATGTGAAAACCCCACACTGTACCCCAGAAGTGCATTAATGTACATAGTTACCATTCAATTAAAAAAAAAAAAAGAAAAAAAAGAAAAAAAAAACAAAAACAAATAATTCTTCAATGACTCTCTCCTGGTCCTGTCCGGAAGCTGGGTGCACGATCAGGAATGCTGGCCCTCCTGTTACTCCGAAGCATGCCAGGATGCATGGGGCTCTGGTGTGGGGGAAGTCCTCCTCTTCTCATTTTGAGTGAGACCTCACAAAAATGTAAACGTCCTTCCCCGAGCAGGGGTGGAAGGCTGTCAGGGTGCGGGTGTCTGAGTCCCAGTGCCTCCCTCTGTCCAGAACATGAACGGCCTTGAGGAAGGCCTGGAGTTCTTGCCAGTCAACAATGCCGAGAAGGTGGAGAAGCGTGGCCCAAGGCACTGGGTGGTGCTGATGGTGGTGCTGACCGTCATTCTCCTGGTTTCGCTCCTGGTTGGCTTTCTGGTGTGGCATTTCCACTGTAAGTAAAGCCAGGGCCAGGCCTAGGGAGGGGAGGGTGAGAATGGCCATCCCTCCTCTCAGTGGACAGACCCACGGCCACCTACTGTGGACGGGAGTGAGGGCAGGGGGTGGTGAGGGGTCTAGGATGCTGACTCCTCAGGCTCTTTCAAGACGCTGGCCCTCTCCTCTCACCCCTCCCCCAGGGATCTGAGGGAAGCTATGGGGAACGGGCAGGGTGATGCCACTTCCCCTACCTCACTCCTTCTGGTCTTACCCAGACCGGAATATGCGGGTCCAGAAGGTCTTCAATGGCTACCTGAGGATCACAAATGAGAACTTTCTGGAAGCCTATGAGAACTCCAGCTCCCCTGAGTTTATAAGCCTGGCCAACAAGGTGAAGGAAGCGGTGAGTCCAGCCCCTTGGGCGAGCTCTGGCCCTGCAGTCTGCTCTGGCACCCCCAACTCGCTGGGCAGAAAGGACACTCCCCCTCACCTTTGCTCCCAAGTCCCTGGGGGGGGGCGCGGGCTGACCTAGGAAGGGATCAGGTCATAGGAGGGAGGGAATGGCTGGGGTTTAGGGCCTGCTCTGACCTCTGTGATGCTGTCTCCTTCCTCAGCTGAAGCTGCTATATAGTAAAATCCCCGCCCTGGGCCCCTACTACAAGGAGTCAGCTGTGACTGCCTTCAGGTGGGTGCAGGGGGACCAGGCTGGGTGGGATGGTCCCTGGCCCTGTGGGACTCCGTGGGGGTTCAGTGTGTCTTGTGACCTGCAGCAGGTAGGGCAGGGGAAGCTGGAGGCCCTGCTCCGAGGGCCAGGGCAAGTCTTTGTTTGGTCTTTACTGAAAGTTACTTTACAGGCTGGCCCTTCTGTCTACAGGGCAGGAGTGACGGTAGTAGTATTGCTGGGATGAGGTCCCCAAAGGCATGTGCAGTGCTAGGCACTCTGCCAGCAATGGCTAAGCTTAGGTGTTATTTTTACAATATGGGTGAGGGGTGGGGTGCACATGCAGGGTTCAGGGGAGTCCTCACATTTTCTGTGCTTTCACAGTTTTCAAAAATACTTTCTCCCTCCTCCCCTTTTTAAAAAAAAATTTTTTTTTGAGACAGAGCCTCAAGCTGTCCCCCTGGGTAGAGTGCTGTGGTATCACAGCTCACAGCAACCTCCAACTCCTGGGCTCAAG